TAATAATGATAATAATATTGATAATAATATTAATATTAATGATAATAACAATAAAAACAATACAAACAACAGCAATAACGAAAATAGTAATGATAATAAAAAAATGGATAGTAGTAAAAATAATAAAAAAGATAATAATAATAATAATAATAGCAAAATAACAATAATTAAAATGATAGTAGTAGTAATAATAATAATAATGATATTAAGAATAATAATGATAATAATAATAATGATGAAATCTCTACTACTACTAATACTACCAATGATAATAATGAAAATGATAATGATAATGATAAGAATAATAACCAAAAAAATAAAAATGATAATGATAACAATAATGGTAATAATTTTAGTAATTATAATGATAATGATATTACTAATACTAATAATAATATTGATATTAATAATGATAATAACAACCATAATAACAATAATAATAATAAAGATAAAAAATAATAATGAAATAATTTTAATGATAATAATAATAATAATAATAATGATAATAATAATAATGATAATAATAATAATAATGACAATAATGATAATAATTATAATAATAAAATACCAATAATAACACCAATAACATTAATAATGATAATAATAATAATAATAATAATAATAATAATAATAGAAATATAAAAAAATAATTATTATGATAATAGCAACCATAATGACAATGATAATAATGATAACAAAAAAGATTATGAAAAAAAATGCTATTAATAAAGAAGATCATAAAAACGATGATATCAAAAATAGCTATAATAACAATTTTATTACTACTACTAAGACTACTGCTGCTAATAGCAATAATAATAATAATGATGATGATGACGATGATGATAATATATTGATAATGATAATGATAGTAATAGTAATAATAATAATAATAATGATAATAATAATAATAATGAGAGTAACAATAATAATAATAATAATAATAATAATAATAATAATAACAACAATAATAATATCAATAATGATAGTAATACAAATCATGATAATAGTAATAATTATATCAACAACCATAAATACAACAGTAATGATAATAATAATCATAATGATAGGAATAATAATAATAATAGTAATAATAATAATAATCATAATGATAATAATAATAGAATAACAACAACGACAATAATAGCAATGATATCGATAATAATAATAATGATAATAATAATAATAATAATAATGATAATAATAATAACAATGATAATAATGATAATAATAATGATAATGATAATAATAGTAATAATAATAATAATAATAATAATAATGATAATAATAATAACAATGTTGACGATCACAATTATGTTATTGAATATTATGACAACGATAATATTCATAATAATGATAGTAATAATGATAATGACAATGATGATAATAATAAGTGTAATAATAACAATAATAATGATAATAATAATGA